GTCTTGCGGTGTGAGGGACAGCATCCTGAGGAGACAACCAATGTCTGGAACGCTTGGGAGTTTCGTACAGAACCCACTTTTCATCACTGGTAAGCACTCGATTGAATAAGGATGCGGTATGGTGGCGAGAAAGCAGTGATATGCAGGCTGCCACTCGTTGTCCCTTGTGGACCTCCAACAGCGTTTTCGGAACCCACTTGCTCAGTTTGTACGTCTTACCTAAGCGGTGCAGGTGAAGTCTAACTGTTTCATCGGAAACGTTGAACTGTCTTGCAAGTTCACCACACGTTAGACTACTGTCCTCTTCAATGACCGCCTTCATGGAGAGACAAATCTCCCGACTTGAATTTTCGAAACCAACGCCTTGCAGTACGTTCATCCACAGCACTATCCCCAAACGCTTGACATATGCAGCGACGATGCAGCTGCTGATAAGCCCACTTTGAAGTCGTAAAGCAAACAGCCCCGAACGAGATCTCTAGACACTTCCATCCTTCTCACAGCTGTCTAGCTTATAACTGATGGCCGGGCACGGTGTGCGTGTTTTTTATAACGTCTGATGGTCCTACTTCCGTCTGTCCGAATTTGAAAGCAATTGCTACACACATTTCGTATATATTTCAACTTCATTCAATGACTAATCAAAAAACGGACAGAAAGTTTTGGTTACCTTGTATATAGAAAATTACTGCTATGTAATATTAATCTTCCTATATGGCAGTGAATGTTGGAAAACTTCCCCAATTATAATTACGGAAACCAGAAGAGATGCGGTTCTACAGAAGGGTGCTGAGAATATATTTATAATTAAAAACAGAAACAAACGGTTGAAATTTTGGAGTAATATAATCATGAAAGAGGGATTGGTCAGTTTGACACTCACAGGGAATACTGAAGTCAAGCGGGCATCAGGAAACATTAAGCTACCCAAGATCGTGTGAATAAACAGCAGGATATGGACAGGAAGTGACAGAAAAGTGGTAAACATGGCTTAGAGCTACATAGGCTAGGAAGTTCTGAAGAGCTTTGTTTGCCCATGTCCCGAAAGGGAACCTATGGTAAATGGAAAATGAAAGTGAGTCAAAATGGCTGCAAAACGATTGATAGTTCAGAGAAAGAATTAGATAACGAATGGTCCTTTTTAAAACTTCTGACTTGGAAGAAGGGAGAAATACAATCTTCTTATCTTTCTTATGCTGATCCCTTATTTAACTATATGCCGTCGAAACTTCTTTTATATACCGTGTCCCTTCAGAACGTGGGTGATCATGGCTTTCCACAACTTCGAATCCTATATAGTACTTGGCAATGATTGTTTTTTTTTTAATATTTTTACGATTCCCTGATGCACATTTACACAAGCAGGTTAGGTAGGGAACTCCCTGTTTCCCTCTGGCCATCTTGCCTTCGGTGAGTTTCAAATAAGCCAATCCAACTTTTCATTTAATGTGTGCCTATCCTTACATCCATTTGCCCATGCTCGTTATGTAGTTACTCGCTGTTTCCCTCTGTCCTTATTGTCTCCAATATGCCCTGTGAGTGCGAAATTCACCAAATCCCCCTATCCTCGTTATATATTCCAGTTCTTACATCCATTTACCCATGCTCGTTATGTAGGTTACTCACAGTTTCCCTCTGTCCTTATTGTCTTCAATATGCCCTGTGAGTGTCAAATTCACCAATCCCCCTCTCCTCATCAATTATCAATCCATTAATGCCCACCGTAAACTTCGTTATTAAATTTATTCCGGATTAAAAATTTATTAAAATTAAACATTACATGAGACGCCTTCAAAATTAAAATTAGCAAATTAATTAAGGATAGACTTTTACGTTTTACGACGTGCCTTCCAGAAATTTTGAATCTTTTTCAGGAGAGAGATTCATTAATTTCAATGAAGTACAAAACTCCAAGACCCTCTTCATTCCATTCGCTTGTTGTAGCGGTTCAGCCATTTCGTGAAGACCCCTATAGAAGTCTTTCAAAACTAAGGTGTCTAGGACCCTTCTCACTATCTCCTTCATCATCTCGCTATCTTCAAAAAGAGTGATGACCATATAGGTGACGGACAGTTTTGACGCTCATCTCCCTAAACACAAAACTTTATTGCATAGCGAGCTTCCAAATTGTCTTCACGCTGCGACTGCATTCTGCAAACTCTTCAACTGTGACAAGCAGTGTTTAGTATGGTCTGTTCAAAGAGCTGTCTCCTTCAAACTGAAATTAAACAAAAAAAATGGCTGATCGGCTTATTAGATTTATATAAATGGTCTACTTAAAATTACAATAACCCAAGACATTTATATGTACCTGTTGTAGAGTAGTTTTCACAGTGGAGGCTTGTATTTCGCTAAGTCGGTCCTAAAAGGGTCCGACGTACAAAACGTTAGGAACTTGAAATAATAGTTAATGACGCAGCAATCTAGTTGTGGTGGTTGATACTTCAATGTCCGACATCGACTGACTCACTCAACTCCACTGAGCTCAACTGGCGACCGCTACTACTACTACTACTTATTATGTGTCGAAGAGTCTATTACAATAGAATAGGTAATGTTCCGGTATAACAATACCTCTTCTTAAAATTTCTCAAATCTTCTGGAATACTCATCGTATTTCAAATTATTATAAGAAACTATATTTATTATAATTTTTCTAAAACAAATCCGTTATTAATTATAGGTTTATAAAAAAAACATATATTAATTATAGGTTTTTATATATAAATAATTAATGTCCAGCTTCCCAAAAATGATCAGTGGGTATTAATTTCCACGTTTCCTAATATTTTGTTTAGCTTTTGGAACGCATCGTTCAATATTTCAATACGCTTTCGGATTTCGGTGTAATATTTTCCATCTTCTACTAAGACAATTCCCAGACAATTAAGTTTCTCTACCTCTTTGGGTTCATATTAAAACATATAACAACAATAACTTAAAATGATAAAAAAAAAAGTTCAGAAAATATTGAATGACAAATCAAATAAAGAAAATAGTAATGGGCAAAACTAGATAGACAGAATAAAAGAGCTCAGAGAGAATGAGAGAAGTAGAGGAAGCAGGTCAAAATGAGAGGGGGGGTAATGAATTTAGAAAGGTAGACAAACAGTAAAGGAGGAAAGGAAGAAAGACAGCAGCGAAACGAACAAATGAAAGTGAAAAAAAATAGAACGAATAAGCCGTATGTGAGAGAGGAAAAGAGAGACAAGACATGAAACGGGAGAGAGGGAAGGTGGATAAGGATAAGCATCAAATTCATAAAGAGTAGTGAAAGAGAGAAGGAAGAAACATCAAATGAGAGAGAAGGAAGGAAGAAGGGAAAGCTTCTAATCAATGGAGAGAGGAAGCAAGAAAGAACACCACTAAATAAGAAAGAAAGAAACAAACAAACAATATACTGGCGTAGAGTGATAGCACTAAGAAGGTAGAGAAGAAAAAACAAAGACGAAAGTTAAAAAGAAAGAAAGAAAGAAAGAAAGAAAGAAAGAAAGAAAGAATATACTTGCGTGGAGTGAAAGCAATAAGAAAGTAGAGAAGAAGAAAAAAACAAACACCAATGTTAAACAAAAGAAAGAAAGAAAGAAAGAAAGAAAGAAAGAAAGAATAGAACAAAGTTAAAGAAAAAGACATGAAAAAATAATAGACCAAAATTTAAAGGAAAAAGAAAGAAAAAAGAAAGAAAGAAGAGGAAAGAGGAGAAAAAAAAAGAAATAAATAAAAAGAATAGAACAAAGTTAAATGGGGAAAAATAAAGAAAATGGATATGAAAGAAATAATACACTAAAATTAAAAGGAAAAAGAAAGAAAGATAAGAACGAAAAAGACAGAAAGAAATACAGAAGGAAGTTAAACGGAAAAAAGAAGGAAAGATGAGAAAAGAAAGAAAAAAAGAAAGAAAGAAAGAAAGAATAGAACAAAGTTAAAGAAAAAGACATGAAAAAATAATAGACCAAAATTTAAAGGAAAAAGAAAGAAAAAGAAAGAAAGAAGAGGAAGAGTGAGAGAAAAAAAAAGAAATAAATAAAGAATAGAACAAAGTTAAATGGGGAAAATAAAGAAAAATGGATATGAAAGAAATAATACACTAAAATTAAAAGGAAAAAGAAAGAAAGATAAGAACGAAAAAGACAGAAAGAAATACAGAAGGAAGTTAAACGGAAAAAAGAAGGAAAGATGAGAAAAGAAAGAAAAAAAGAAAGAAAGAAAGAAAGAATAGAACAAAGTTAAAGAAAAAGACATGAAAAAATAATAGACCAAAATTTAAAGGAAAAAGAAAGAAAAAGAAAGAAAGAAGAGGAAGAGTGAGAGAAAAAAAAAAGAAATAAATAAAGAATAGAACAAAGTTAAATGGGGAAAATAAAGAAAAATGGATATGAAAGAAATAATACACTAAAATTAAAAGGAAAAAGAAAGAAAGATAAGAACGAAAAAGACAGAAAGAAATACAGAAGGAAGTTAAACGGAAAAAAGAAGGAAAGATGAGAAAGAAAAGAAAGAAAGAAAGAAAGAAAGAAAGAAAGAAAGAAAGAAACGAAGAAGCATGAAGAGAATGAAGGGAAAGGAGATATAAAGAAAAGCCCGAAATAAAACTGCAGGTAATAAAGAAAGGAAGAAGCATGAAAGAAGTGGCGAGGATAAGTGAGGGGGAAAGCCATGTAGAAAAGAAGGAAAAAGGCACCAAACCTGGTATTTTTCTATTAATGAAAAAAAATGATGCCAAACTCTTTGAATGACGATAACCTGTCATCTTTTACCGTGGTCTGTAATCTCCACCCTTCATTTACTTTGAAATAAATTTCATAAAAGCAAAGTAACGAGGGAAATCAATATGGTGAAATGGAATATGAACTTATTTTGAGGGTTGTACATATTTAAAGTTGAAGCAGAAGCAATCGATAAAGCGCATTGGACTTGATTATTATTTAATTGGGTGACAGCAGAGGAAGAATATCAGTTAACGTGAGGTAAGGTGTGTGTATGAATAGCAGTATAAACAATTATCTGAACGAGAGGGCTGACATAGATAGATAGATAGATAGATAGATAGATAGATAGATAGATAGATATGAAAGGCAAAGAAAGAAAGAAAGAAAGAAAGAAAGAAAGAAAGAAAGACGTGATTGGATATTGAGAAAAAACTGAGGTAAACATATAGAAAGAGGCGTGAAAGGACCGAGATAGATAGATAGATAGATAGATAGATAGATAGATAGATAGATAGGATAAGAGAGAGAAGTGATTGGACTGAGATAAATATATAGAGAGAACGAACTTAAATAAAGAGAGAAAGATAAGTGAAAGGACCGAGATAGATAGATAGATAGATAGATAGATAGATAGATAGATAGGATAAGAGAGAGAAGTGATTGGACTGAGATAAATATATAGAGAGAACGAACTGAAATAAAGAGAGAAAGATAAGTGAAAAGAGATAGAGATAGATAGATAGATAGATAGATAGATAGATAGATAGATTGGAACAGACTGAGATTGATAGATAGACAAATAGATGGTAACAGAGATAGATAGATAGATAGATAGATAGATAGATTGATTGATTGATTATAATTATTACTGTAAAATACAATAGTTGCGGCACATGGTCAAACTTTTGTTGTGGGGGGGCGTTGATGTTGGTCGTCTTTACCTACCCTATACCTTGCTAACCTGATTCCTGACCCATTCATTCAATACAAGTAACACATCCACCAAAAGAAGTCACCCTTCACCTTTTACTCCTACATATACCACAATACCACATCCACAAAGGGAACCTAAAGATTAAACCCTATGATTTAAGCATTTTCTTATGTACAAATGTTAATATATATATATATATATATATATATATATATATATATATATATATATAATATGTATGAAGATGATATGCAATGAGTGGCAAGGTTCTGAATCCTAATACAAACAAAATATAAAACAGAAAATAACAGATGCTAGTAAGGACCCGTACACCCCATAAAAAACCAGAGTTGCCGCTGTATTCTGTCATTGGACAGAATCGAGAAGCTAACCCTCTAACGGAATGGGAAGAGAAAAATAAATGCAGGGCCGTGGTGGAATTAAAACAACCAGTCGAGATAAAAAATGGGGGGGTAAAAAAACAAACTGGGGAAGTTGGGAATCTCAACTTGACTCATAACAGAAGTAAAGAGCCGGGAACAGGCCGGGAACGACACTCACTCACATTAACCAGGTACACAAAAGAGGACCTACCTTAACCAGGGGCGGGTTCGCAGGAAACCGCATTTTTGTGACGAAAGAGGACTTAAAAAAGGAACTCAAGGATTATCCCTTTCACATGAACCAAGCTCGCAACTTTTACCCACCCTTCGTTGAAATCTGTTCGCGTCATCCAGATAACCATTCTTGTCACGGCTAACAACGTTAGAAATACCATTCGCTTCACTCCAGAATACAGGGGCGACACATAGCGCGCATGCGTATGCGAGATCGATGAGCACATGCTGATCGGGCGCGATACGAGCCGTCACCTCTCCGACATAGTCCCAGAAAGGGCTTAGCTGAAGACAATGGTAGAAGGTGTGCAAAGCTGTTTCTTCTAAACCAAGGTCACACTAATAACAGACGGGCAAATCCACCCAGCCCCATCTGAAGGCCATGTCGTTGAGAGATAGCACGTTTCGAATCAATCGCCAGGTAAGCGAAAACTCAGGAATACTGAGGTAATTCGCCTCTGGCGCCCAGGACCAGAAAGAGTGCAACTCGTCCAGCGGAAAGCCGAGCCGCTCACAGAGACGGACCTTCGCGACCCCCTCCAAAAATTCACGATACAAGATCTTTCAAGAATGTGAAAGGTCCCTGAAGCGAGAAAAACCCTCAAGACCACTCGACACTCGTTGAAGAAAGTCGACAATTTCCCGGACCTACGACGGCGCTTAGCCCAAGAAATGGGAGAAGTGATAGTAAAGCTAGGGGAGGCGTCCCTAACACTCCTCACCAAAATCGAATCCTCTGTCAAAACGCGGCGTAGAAAGCCAACCTCAAGGCGTGTCGATGACTCACCAAGTGTGGCAATGTGATAACACCCACCCACTCACATGACACAGACGTTGGACACAAGCTTCTTTACGGACCTTCTGCTTGTGCCCACCCCACAAGAGGGTGGACAACAAGCGCTCGATCGCCTTCCTATGGTCCTTGCAAAGAGGAACTACAGCCAAGCGGTAAAGGATGAGAGGAAAAACGTAAGTGGCACATGCCTCAGCTCTACCCTTCAAAGACAACCTCTGAGCCAATTCTGAACCGACGCTCCGACCTTTGCCTGTACTTCTGACGAATTTTTCTCTAGCTGGAGATCGGGTCCAAACCACACTCCGAGAATGCGGACAAGACCGTCCGTCCAACTGAAGATTCCCGGAAGAGAAACCCCCTTCCAGGCACTTAACCGCAAGCCGGAAGACTTGTTACATTTAATCTTGGCCCCTGTGATCTTTTTGTACTGTTCAAGCTCCTTCTGTACCACCTCAATATCACAGGAGCACGACACAAAAATGGATACGTCATCGGCGTACGTGGAATCCCTGGCTCGAGCCCCACCAGGGACAGCGATTCCACGTAGGGTTGGACTGAAAAGCGTAAAGTAGGGGCGACAGTGGCCAACCCTGACAAACCGACCGAAACAGCGCAAAAGCGCGCAACCGCTTTCCGTTTACCTGTACCACAGCACTGGGGAAGAGATACAAGAGGCTAATCCACTTGCAGAAGTCGCTTTCGAGTCCAGCAGCCTGCAAGGACAACAGCCAGATACCGATAGCCGCTCCTGTCAAATGTCTTGGACTGATCCAAATTGATCAGCGCGACTTGCTCGTCGTCTTTTACACCCTCTAGGATCGTGAGGATCAGATGAGGGTTGCTCTGAAGTGTTTGGCCATTCAGAGCACAAATCTGATCGGGTCCCAACAGACTCTTCGCAACTGAATGCAAACGCTCCGTCAGGACCTTGGCCAAAATCTTTAACTGTGTTCAGTAGAGTTATGGGCCTGTAATCATCTAAATCCCGCCCACATATACTTGCCCTTTTTCAACAGCATGATGACACCCTTGGGGATGCGACTGGGGATAGACCCATGCTAGAAACAGTTGTCGAACACGAGAGTCAAAATTGGTACAAAGATGAGCGACAGCCTCAAGTACAATTCATAGAGTAAACCACCAAGTCCCGGAGACTTGCCACTGCTAGCCCACTTCAATGCCAAGTAGACTTCGCCCTTCGTGATCTCACACTCGCAGCTAGACGCTTCAGTCAGCGAAAGCCAAGGAAAGTCAGCAAAATAGTTGCGAAACTCATCGCCACTGAGTCCAGGCTCCTTGGTAAACCGGCTCTCGAAATGCCGTCGAAACACTATGCACACGTCGTCAGTCGACTTCAGAGTGTGGACTCGCGCAGGGATTCCACCTATTTTTACGTGCGTACGCGTACTGCACCCGTTCCTTTCAGATTCGGCTAGACATATTATTGTCTGGCACAAGGCCACCTTTTCGTAGGCCAGCACTGCATGCTACCGGGTCTGCTACAAGATTGGTGACCATTCCGACGTGATCTTGAGGAACACTTATTTCTTATAAAAAAAAAACAAACAAAACTGTTTATTTCGGGTCAGATCATAACTAAACGTGCATAAATTTGATAGCAGGAATGACGTCTGGTGAAGCCGGAGAGTTGTCGAGCATGGCCGCTGCCGTTGCTCCCTTCCACCCCCCTTTTAGGAAGGGAATATTAAGAACTGGTTCCTTCAAATGGAAGACATTTTTATCGTGAGAAAAATCTCAGACCAGAAGACGAAGTTTGGCCACGTGGTATCAGCTTTACTACCCACCATTGTGGATGAAGTGACCGATTTCTTGGAAGCCGTCCCGGGTGTTGAACCTTACACCCAATTGGAGGAGGCTCACTGAAGAAGCGCTTATCCGCAAGTTATTTAGCGACTTACCACATGATGGTAGAACCCCTTCGCAACTTCTACGTTTCATGAAGAGTCGTTTGGGTAAAAACATTATGGCCGACCCAATTTTAAAAAGCCTGTGGTTGGATCGCCTCCCCACCACCATTACCCAAATTTTGGCGCCCATGTCGGAGAACACCCCACTCGACCAGTTAGCGGACGCTGCAGACCGTATTTTCTCCCAACTGGATCACGACACCAGTACTCAGTGCTGACGCATCCAGTGACTACAGGTCCTTGGAAAAAGCTGTGGAAGAACTACAGCGGCAAGTCAGAGACCTGACATTTGCTCTAAAAAACCGTGGTCGAAACCGGTTTCTTTCCCGCCGTCGCTTTAGGAGTCGACGACGTTCGTCTAGCCGAGACGATCATACCTCTTCTTCCACTATGTTCTACTATCGGCGTAGATTTTGTTCTGCAGCACGTTACTGCACTAAGCCGTGCAATTATACTGCGGTCGCGGGAAACGAGACCGCCAGCAAGTGAGAGCGACTAATCTTGCTGGTAAGGCACCTTCACAGAAGCTTAGTCGCCTTTTCTACGTGTTAGATACACGTAATAATTTACGTTTCTTGGTCGACACCGGCGCTGCCATCAGTGTGTTACCTGTTCCTGATAAAGCAATTCTAAAACCTCATCAGCTCCGCTTACAACCAGCGAATGGCTCCAGCATAAACACCTACGGTACTAAGACCCTTACCTTAAATATAGGAATGCGTCGTGATATTACCTGGAATTTCACTATTGCTGATGTTCAAATGCCAATATTAGGTGCCGATTTTCTGGCACACTATGATCTAGCCGTTCGAATGAGCAACCATTCTTTAACGGATAACCTGACTAAACTATGTGTTGTTGGAACCTACTCCAAACATACCACTACTGGTATCACCGTGGCAACTTGCCATAGTAAGGAGTATTTGGACATATTGAATCAGTACCAGGACCTTCTGCGTCCTGCTGGGTCTATTGATTCAACCAAACACCAGACGCAGAATTTTATTAAGACCACTGGTCAACCTGCCTTTTCTCGTCCTCGTCGCTTAGCGCCTCATAAGTTAAAATTCGCTAAGAAAGCTTTCGACGACATGTTACGAGAGGGTGTTATTCGTCCAGCCGACAGCCCCTACGATTCTCCCCTGCACTTGGTACCTAAACCAGGAAAGGATGATTATAGAATTTGCGTGGATTACAGAAAGTTAAATTCCATTACTATCCGGGATCGCTATCCGATTCCTCATCTCCACGATTTTGCTTCAGGCTTACAAGGTGCGAAAATTTTCTCTAAAGTAGACCTCTCAAAAGCCTACTATCAGATACCGGTAGCTGCTGCTGATATCCCAAATACGGCTGTCACCACGCCCTTTGGTTTGTTTGAATTCTTAAAAATGCCTTTCGGCCTATGCAACGCGGCACAGACCTTTCAGCGTCTTATGGACGAAGTCCTGCGTGGACTCCCCTTTGTTTTTGACTATATCGACGATATTTTAATAGCTAGTTAGGACGCTGCCTCTCATAAGCGTCATTTAAACGAAGTTTTTCAACGTTTGTCTCACTATGGTTTCCGTCTGAACCTTGACAAATGTGTATTTGGATCGGACCACATGGAGTTTTTAGGCCAACATACTGATGCTAACGGAATTGCTCCTGTGGCCGATAAGATTGAAGCTATCGTTGAGTTTCCCGTCCCTGTTTCCATTAAGCAGTTGAGACGTTTTATAGGAATGATTAACTTCTACCGAAGATTTATTCCCAATTGTTCGAATATTCTGACTCCTCTTACAAACCTTTTACAGAAAAAAATAAAGTGATAACACTGGAGAATGAAGCTTTGGATGCCTTTCGAGCAGCTAAAACCGCTCTAGGCAACTTTTCTAAGCTTAGTTTCATCGAGGACGACCCTCAGTCAGACATTTACCTGACCACCGAGGCCAACGAATCCGCAATAGGCGCAGTCATCGAACAAGTTCGTGCCTCTCAACGCAAACCCATAGCATTCTTTTCTGCTAAGCTTTCTTCTGCACAGTCACGCTATAGTACCTTCTCGCGTGAACTGCTAGCTATCTTTCGTGCTGTTAAGCACTTCAGACACCTCCTCGAAGGTAGGTCTTTCGTCATCTTTACAGACCACAAGCCTTTAACTTCCATTATGTCTACTAATTCAGATAAATACACTTCGAGAGAGATCAGATACCTGGACTACATCTCTCAATTCACCACGGATATTAGATATATTAAGGGTACAGATAACACTGTCGCCGATACCCTATCTCGTACTGAGATGTTCGTCGTGCATACTGATGCTCTCAGTCAGGACTTGATCGCCGAGGAACAGGAAGCGGACATAACTCTGAAGCATGTGTTATCCGACACTTCTTTGGAACTTCAGAAATGCCCAGCTCCTTTTAGCAACAAGGTCCTATACTGCGATGTAAAATCGAACATCCCAAGACCTTATATCCCTGCGTAGACAGGTTTTTGACCGCCTGCACGGACTCTCACATCCTAGCAAGAGAGCCACCGTTAAATTGATTTCAGACCGTTTTTTTTTTTTGGCCAATATGAACGTCCAGATTCGGGAATGGGTCATTTCGTGTCTACAATGCCAGAAATGCAAAGTACATAGACACACGAAATCTCCTGTGGGCACCTCCAGCAAGCCTGATGCTCGTTTTGCTAATATTCATCTGGATTTAGTTGGACCTCTACCAACTTGCCAAGGGTATCCTTACCTTTTGACGATAGTCGATCGTTTTTCTCGGTGGCCTACTTCCATCCCTATTAAAGATACCACTGCGGTAACCGTCGCAAAAACATTTCTACATGATTGGATTTCAATTTTTGGGACTTCCAAAGTAGTTACTACCGACAGAGGAGCACAGTTCCAGTCATGTCTGTTTAAGGAATTCACTGAACTCCTTGGAGCTAAACACATACGTACCACTGCATACCACCCGTGTGCTAACGGATTGGTGGAACGATTCCATCGTACTCTTAAGGCTTCGCTGTCAACGAAGCATGACAATAATAATTGGGTTGATGAACTACCCGTCATCCTTCTTTCACTGAGAAACATTCTCAAGGACGATTTAAAATGCTCACCAGCAGAACTCGTTTTTGGTACGTCGCTGTCATTACCCGGACAGTATTTTTCACCAGCTGTAGATACATCTCCAGTTTCTTCTTCCTTTTTCCGGGACTTGCGCCTTAAAATGGCCAACTTGAGTTACACATCACCGCGGCACTCCCCGGTTAATATATATTTACCTCATAAGTAAAAAAAAAATTGCATATTTTGCTTGTGGTGCTTCCTAATTAGAATTCTGATTTGAATATATTTTCCACTCGTTGTTTCTAATACAAAAAATATTAACTTTATTTGGGTTTATTAATTTATTACAAGTACTGTGTTCTTTCCTTAATAATTATCATCTTCGAAATATTGTTTTTTGTCTATCAGATTTCACGCGTCGGCATTTTTAAATTATTTCTTAATACTTTCTTTTAAATATTGAATTAATTTCAAATAGAACCAATGCCTTATTTATCTGCCTTGTAATAAATTGCAAAAGGAATTGTAAAAACGGCCCTAATGTACGTGGAATTATCTTTCCCTAAAGATAAAGAATTATCCGATGTTTGGATTCGTACAATCAGTAGAGATCGTTAGATTATTGTTTAAGTTGACGGACACGCATGTCTTTTTTTTTTGTTTTTTTTTTTTTGTTTTGTTTTTTTTTTTTTTTTTTTACGAATTGGTCAAACCCAAACTCAAACAAAAACATCGTTTTCAATCGTTATGAGTCTCCCGATTAAATAGAATTTTATTATAAACAATTGTCTTGTAAATGGAATTTTTAAAGCATTCTGAATGTATAAATAAAGAAAAAAAGTGTGCAAGACAATAAGAAACACCTGCTCAAAAAAAAGCGAACGTTTGTCTTATCGGCTGGAAAATGTAGGAAATCCGATCCCATATATAAAGGAACACACACAAACAACCTGGGGTTTTTAACACGATGTGAGTTGTCCCCTTTTCATTCTCACGATGTGTCTTAATCGTGTTTTCAAATTGATTTTGTTAAAAAACAATTGTGTTTTTCCCATTTTCGGCGCTGTTAGAACCACCACAAGGTAATTTTATGTAGTCCTGTAAAGTTTTGTTGAAATCGGCTAAAAAATGTAGGAAATCCGATCCAATATATAAACGTTACAGACACACACACACACACACACACACACAATCAGCGTTTTATAATCAGTAAGATTGAGCCACAGAGGAGCGTTTCGGTTAGCAAGGTCGATTTTACTGTTTTTAAACTACAATTCTCCGTGATTTTCTCGTGTACATTCATATCTGCTCGATGTAAACAAATGACGTCACACATTATGAATATGGACAAAGTCCGACAATTATTTTAAGACATTTTTTTGTTTATACTTTCTTTTTATTGATACAGATATATGTATATTGTCATCCACAGACAAAACCACCCACACTTTAGAAAGAGCTAATGCACATCGTGTGCGACGAGGTGCCCAAATTACCTCACCCTCAAGTTTTGAATTCTGAGTTGTACTTTAGAAGAAGTACAACTCAGAATTCAAAACTGGCTGACAAACAAGGCTGAAGATCTCAGTTTGTCCTACTATTCAGCCCATAGCTGGGGTAGATTTGATAGATCGCCTGCCGACGGTGATTGCGCGTAAGTGAATGAAACACACTCTCTTGGAATTCAAGCATGGCTCTCCAATCTTTCAATTCGAGCCGCTGTTCATTAAACTACCACACTCCTACACCATATATATATATATATATATATATATATATATATATATATATTTGTGTGTGTATGTGCATTTTAGTGAGAAAATTCTGACAAACTAGAAAATGCTTTAGCGTGACGCGCTTCGTTCTTTATGACTTCATCTTACTAAAGTGTTGTTTATGTTGATGCGACTGCACATGCGCACGAAGGAATGGGAACTTTTAATTGATAAGTCTCAGCGTCCCTTTTCCGTCGAGCGCATGTGTAATCGCATCAACTTAAA